GTTTTGTAGGAAAAAGGAGAAATTTATTTTTATTTTAATTATAAACATAAGATATAAGTCACAATAATTATATTTCTTATCTCATACTCTATATAAACAATTCAATTTCCTTTGCCACTCAATTTTGACAAATTTTAACATCGTTTTGCTAACCAAACAGTAAAAATTATTTCATTAAAAAATTTATAGAATATTTCAAATAAAGAGTATAATTTCTTTTAAAAAAATAATTTTCCATAGAAAAATATTTTCTAGTATGTAGTTATTTTCCACCAACTAATTGTACTCTTGTATTTTTTTCTACGTTGTTTAATTGCAATATCACTCCATCACTTTCATCTTTGATTCGTTGAAAAGAAAAACTATAGCGAAGGTAAACTCCTGATTAGTCTGTTGGTTTAACACAAACCTCCTTAATTAGTTTAATTAATTTTTTTATAAATCTTAATTATAATATGCTTAGTACTGCCTCAAGTCTAATTTAATTGTCACTTAACCTATTTTTAGGACATTTTTTATAATAATATAATTTGAATTTTTTATTTAATTTCACATTATATAAAAAATATAATTACTATTTGTATAATATAAAAAAATACCCACAACGACTGCAATTACGGCTATAAAATCTGGAGGAAGTATGATACTCCGATTCAATGAAAGACCGCATCAGGCACTTATACATCAGTCTGTTGGTGCCACTAATTAGTACTAAAATATAAACTATAATAATATTATATAAATATCCCTTATTCCTATCGGTAAATTGCAATCATTCAAAAATTAAAAAAAAGGGGGCTTTTCAATGAAGGTCATTTATCTAACCCATAAGTAATGCATTAATTTTGAGAGAGCGCCACGTGTTCCACTTTTAAGGTAGAAATGATAGTACATTCTAAGGTGCTGCTGCCACACGCCAAATCACGAGTAAAATGATCGATCAGTCACACTCCTTTTTTTTTTTTTGGCAGCAATTCTCAGGCTTTGGTTGGAGTCATTGTCCAAAAAGTTGGGAAATTATTTGCGTGAATTGCGGAATTCATCAAATCAAATTCCTAAAGAGCTAACTACCTTGAGCAGTCTGTTGGAGGACATGATACCTATAGCTGAAGATGTTGAGCGACATCGCGAAAACATCATAGTGAAGTCATGGCTTGAAGCAGTGAATGGAGTGCTTTTTTATACTGAAGATATATTTTTGGAGATAAAGAAAGCCAATATATTCGGGCAAACTGCAGAAGTCCAATCCAGTGCCAACAAGCCATGGAAACTCATCCTTAGTTTGTATAACAAGATTTCAAGGTTTATGCATTATTATCGAGAAAAAGGGATGGTTTCCAAAGTGAAGTATATAACTGTTACGTTAGAAGAAATTCTTGGTGCAGGAAAGCAGTTATTAAAAGAAACTCTTGATGAAAGAACGCAGTCTGGCATCCAATACATATCAACTACGCTTGGTAACATTCTTCATTCCTCTGTTTGAATTTGCTATTTTTCTACGTTTCTTTCTTAAAGCATTTACATCGGGAGGGACTCATCATGTTACACATCCCAATTCATATTATTCTTTTTATTCATTTAATTTGACTTTTTAATTT